AATGTAAATCAAAGCTTTATTAGTATCCTGAGAGAAGAGACTATATAAACTTAGTACATAAGGTAAACCCTACAGTGGATGTGTTCTCAATCTCATGGGACTGGGAGGTCCCTTACCAGATAGGGTTGAGAGTTAATTAATCACATTCATACCAGAGGAGTATTAAGACGACCTTTTATTGTGGCGCCCATACCAGATGGGTTATGGGATGACTAATGATTAACAAGGAAAATGTTTGTGTACCACATATAGTGGAGATCCCTATAGATATCCAGCGATACCGGTAGCAGAAACAAAAAGATAATATGATAAAAATAAAAATGTTAAGTAAACCCCAGTTTGGGTAAAATGGTAAAGAATTAATAGTATTCTCACGATGACTGAATGTATCTTAATGTCATAACGAATGTTGTTAATGAGAGAATGAATAATAAAATGGTTTTCATAATAAAAATAAACAATACTATCACACTAGTTTTGTTTTTAGTTAAAAATATGCCATATCGGTTGTTTTACAGTTTTTTTATAACCCTTTAGTTATTATGTCGGTGGTAAGACTTTTGGTATTCTTATTAAGTTAGTGTTGCTCACCCTCCTTCTTATTACCATTTCAGATCAAGATAATCAATACCCATATCCTGAACAGTGAGAAAATAGGTAGGACACCATCATTTTATGCTCTGCCAGGTTCGAATTGAGGTTAATCATTATTTGTAGTAGTTTTCTTTTGTTTTAAGCTTTAAACATTCTACTAGCCCATATTTGAGTATTCTAAGTTAACGTGCAAAGAATATAACTTTGTAAACTAAGGATTTATAATCCTCATGTGCAATGATAATTTCAATATTATTATATTATTATAATCAAGCTAAATATCTGAAGTCCTTATTAGGGTTCGAGTTTTTATATATATTTTTTAAATATGTTACATCTAAGTTATACAAATAAATAAATCATTAATAAATAAGAAAAAAATATGAATAGTGATTGTATTGATGATAAAATATAATCATGAATCGCAAATAGTGATTGATGATTAAGAAAAATAATTATTGGTTCAATTGTCTATGTTAATTGCAAAAAAAAATGATAAATCAAATTATATTAAGTATGATTCATAGTCATCATTTATCAGAGAATAATTATGATTATTAAATGATTGAAAAACGGATAACGATTTACTTACAATATTTAATTAGCATTCTTAAAAAATATATAATGAATTATAAGTTTAATACATTATGTTTAGTAAAAACATCGATATTATTTGTTCATCATAAGAAAATTACTTACAAACTTTGTGCGGGATTAATAATTTTTATTTTTTGTCTCATAGATTTTGCGTCAATTATTTTTATCATTATAGAAACATGTTTAATAAAAAAAATTTATTACAATTCAAAAAATTGGATATAATTTTTTTTTTTGTAGAAACGGCAATTAAAAATTAAATTAAATTAAGTGACATAACAGGTAGTATAAACCCTAATTGAAAACAATAAAAAAGGCTTAGCCACTCGTTAAGGCAAACCGTTCATTCTTAATCCACCCCATTCTAGGCAGGCAAGTCAACTATATTTGACCACCTTCCTTATTTATCAAAGCAGTTCAAACCCGGGAGTACCGTTATGAAACCCCTAATGGTCACGTGCCATCCACGTGACCTCTCCCAAGGCCCACAGAAACATTTGAATTCGGATCCAAGCGCCTTTTATCAATTCCAATTCATAAAATATTTCTCAAGAAGTAAATCCCTCGATCTTTCAAAAGCGGAAGGCAGCTTTCGTTTGTCTCTTCCAAAATTCAAATTCTCAAAAAACCCTCTATCTTTCTCTCTCTTCTTCTCCTCATCATCCTCTCCCAATCTCAGGTACTTTCTCTATTCTTCATCCGTTAAAATCTGTTTATCTGCAGCTCACAGATTGATAGTCTCCATTTTTTTCATTTCTTCATTTTACCGAAAACTGTTGATTGCATTTCCAATACAGTGGTTTTTAACCGTAACTTTGGGATGCAGGGATTCTTCATTGTTTTGAGATCGGTTAGGGTTATTTTTGTTTAGATCGGTTCGAGATTTGATTCTTTAATTGGAAATGGAGAGTGCGGAATCGGTGAGAGTTGCGGTCAATATACGTCCTCTGATCACTTCAGAGCTTCTCATTGGCTGTAGCGATTGCATCACGGTTGTTCCCGGAGAACCGCAGGTACTGGATTTATAGACTTTCGGAAATGAAATTTGTATATAAATCAGCTCGATATTCCTGTAATTGGTGCTTCATACCTGCTTGTTCGTTTATAATATGTTGAGTTGCTGCACTATTTCTATTTAAATGTTTCAATGGCTGAAATATAAGTTGGAGGTGGTGATTATTTATCGTTGTTGGATGCTTGAGCAGGTGCAAATCGGATCACACGCATTTACCTTCGATTATGTTTATGGGAGTGGCGGTTCACCCTCTTCGGCAATTTACGATGACTGCGTGGCTCCCCTGGTTGATGCATTGTTCAAAGGATATAATGCAACCGTTCTCGCTTACGGCCAGGTTTAGCATTGATTTTTCCCCCCAAAAGATTTGTTTGCTTTCAATCTAATTATCCTTTTCAAAGCGTTTTTCCATGGTTATTATGGTTTGTTCAATGTATCGATTGAATTCCTCTTTCTTGAAGACGGGTTCTGGGAAAACTTATACAATGGGTACTAATTACACTGGCGAAGGAGGCAGCGGTGGAATTATACCTAGAGTTATGGAAAATATATTCCAAAGGGTTGAGTCAATGAAAGAATCCGCAGAATTCTTGACACGCGTGTCCTTTATTGAGGTGAATAATCCTCATTCCCTTAAATTTGTCTTATTTTATCTTGTTCAATTGCCTTGTTGACGACCTTATAACGTCAATCTGCCCAAGTGACAGATATTCAAGGAAGAAGTGTTCGATTTGCTTGACTCCAATTCTGCGGCATTACCTAGAGGCGAGGTGGCATGTCAGGCAAAGCCCGCTGTGCCCGCAAGAGTCCCCATACAGATTAGAGAAACAGTGAATGGAGGGATAACGCTTGCGGGGGTTACTGAGGCAGAAGTTAGGACAAAGGAAGAGATGGCATCATATTTATCACGAGGTTCTTTATCTCGTGCCACTGGGAGCACCAATATGAATAGTCAATCAAGGTATGGCATTTCTTCAACTAATGTTAACTCCATCACAAGGATAATTTTTAGCAGCTGGATTGCATCTTTTAGTTATGCCATCTTCATTTGTCTTTTATTCAACGTTATCCTTCCTTTTTCGGTTCTTCTATTGTCCTGAGTAGAAAGAATCAACAATATGTTTATATAAGAAGGGCAACTACTTCTGCTTCTCTGTGAAAATGAAGGATGTTAATTGTTGACATGTTTTGCAAGTTGAATTCATCCCAATTGAACGACTCTTTTGGGACACTTCATTATATAATTTTTGTTTCAGAATTATAGCATTTTATCAGATGCTACCTGTAATTCATCAATTATTGCAGTGCTTTTCCAAGTTGGTTCGTGTCCCCTGATTGTCTAACTCACTTTTTTTCAGTCGTTCTCATGCTATCTTTACAATTACCATGGACCAAAAGAAAATTGTTCACTGCCCAACGGGAGCAAACAATGATGATTTTGGCGATGATATCCTATGTGCAAAACTCCACTTGGTGGATCTTGCTGGGTCTGAACGTGCAAAACGAACAGGTGCTGATGGCATGCGTCTGAAAGAAGGTATGGCTAGTTTTTATTGACTTTGGATGAGAATTTCTTGCTACTGTTTTTAAGAGCCTACATATTTTAATCAATGAACAAAAATCCCTAAGTTGATTGCTTATACATGGCTTTGGGAATTGGATTTTAATTCATTCTGATTTTGCATTTTCTAGGAATTCATATCAACAAAGGTCTGCTTGCTCTTGGTAATGTGATTAGTGCCTTAGGAGATGAGAAGAAGCGGAAGGAAGGAGGCCATGTTCCATACCGAGACAGCAAGTTGACACGCTTGTTGCAGGCATGAAATACTTTTCTTTTCTTTGGAGCAAAAGAAATTTTTCTACAATCCTGGCTTTTTCAAAAATAATCATGTCAGTTTAGTTCATGCTTAAGATAAAAGCAGAATTGACACTCAGTATCCAGATTTTTGTATTCGTACTCAAATCTTGTAAAGGAAATGGATTCATGACTAACCAGCAATCTCATAGTGACCATATAGACTTATGCTGGAAATTGTGTTAGTGCATTGTTCATGTCATGAATCATGGTGCTGCAACCTAGACTTAGATAGTCTTATGCATCTACATCAATTGAATAAAAGTGGCTTGTTGGCTGTGTAACCTTTTTGCCTCTAACCATTGAGTTTGGATTTTTAGGATTCTCTCGGAGGAAACAGTAAAACAGTAATGATTGGTATGTTGTTCATGACTTAATGAATCCTTCTTTGTGCATTCAATGTCATGTCTTCTTGTAGTGAAATTCAAACTACTGTATGTTGCTTATTATTTCTATATTTGTTTTAATTGCAGCTTGTGTAAGTCCTGCTGACACTAATGCAGAAGAGACATTAAACACATTGAAGTATGCAAACCGTGCTCGAAATATCCAGAATAAGGCAGTTGTAAGTATGCTTATGGAAGCTCTTTCTTCTGTTATTTTTAGTATTTTTATTGCTTTCACAATAACCCTATCTTTCTGCATTGGTTTAGATCAATCGTGACCCAATGGCGGCTCAATTACAAAGAATGCGGAGCCAAATTGAGCAGTTGGAGTCTGAACTTTTATTTTACCGTGGTGATGGCAATGCCTTTGATGAACTTCAGGTAAGTTACTGACCGAGAAGTGTCTGTTTGTGGTTCTCAGCTGCCATAGTAACATTTGTTTTTTCAGATTCTCAAGCACAAGGTATCTTTACTGGAAACAAGCAATGCAGAGTTAAAGCAGGAGCTTCAAGAGCGTAGGCTTGCTTGTGAGCATTTAACACAACATGCTCTTGATGCCCAGGTTTTCCCCCTTGTTTTCCTTTTTCTCTCTTATTTCCTAAACTCATTTCGGTTGATGCAGAATTCTTTTAAATTTTAGTGAATGTCTTCTTGGCCTTAACAAAATCTGATACTGAGATTTGCATGTACACGACTTAAACTTTTTAGGTTGAAAAGGGCAAATTGATAATGAAAATTGAATCAGCGCGTAACGGTAAACCTTGGGATGAGATTGACTGCAACTCGGATGAGGTCAGATTGGTTTCATTTTTTAACTCGATCAGATCATGGTCTTATATTGAAGAATCATGGCTTTAATTTTTCATTTCAGGATTTTGGTTTGATGAAAACTTACTTGTCAAAAATTCAAGAGTTGGAAGGGGAACTGTTGCGATTGAGAAACTTGCAGACCTCAAAACAAAGTGAATTTCCTGACTGTATGTATGCTGATGATGATGGATTTCGATCGAAGAATGTTTTGTTCCCATGTCTCAGTGAATTGTCAGATTGCGATGCCAAAGCAAGAGATATTTCAGGTAAGTCGGTGGGAAATACTTGCTGTTTTATTGTTTACGGTTCAACTTTCTTTTAGTGGGTTGCGATCAATCAAGCACAGGATCATATCCTGCATATTTACGTTTTGGTGCATGTATGGATACTTCGTTGCATGAGCGTCACACGTGCCCTTTCAACAATTATTGGTGATAGCCTTAAGGCTATGGTTCCTTTGACGCCGCCGTTTCCGGAACAACAGTTATGGAGGCTGGCGCTTAGCTTGTTGGATTTGGGTTACAACTTCGATTTTCTGGGTTTCAAGGTTACCGTTTGTGTTGGCAAGAGGGTTGTGATTTTTTGAATTTTGGATGAAAAAATTACAGCTCTGTGATGAATCTGAGAGCTCTTACACCTAATTGGTTTAGGACCAAAAGAAAAAATTTCTTACGAAATAAAATTGGAGACTAATAATCAAATTAAAAACTTAATAAAAAAGAATTATACAAGTAGCGTATCAGATCACTAATTATATGAATCAAATTAGTAACTATATGAATATAATTATATAAACTAAAATATTTTTGTTTATAGTTACTAAAATATAAATTAATTATTTTAATAAACAAGTTCAGGTAAGAACTGAATACGATGTTAGTTAAATAGTTTTTTAAGAAAGGTTTTAATTAAATATGAAATAAGAAGTTTATAGGTGCTAATTTCTAAATATACTAAATAATTAGCAAGAATTTTTGGTTCTGATGGTATCCGTCCCTATTTGTGGGCAAAAATTATACAACAAGGGCTGTAATCTTAATTAGAAAATATATATCGAGTAATAAAATAATACATAAGGACGATAATTAAATAAATATCCTTTTGTATTGAAGTGTGTCCAACTTGCTTCTTGTTCTGCATCAACTATTTTCTTAACGGACTTCTTTGAGTTAATAAAGAACTGGTTTCTAAAGATCCTTGCAGTTGATACTTGACTTTTTGTGGCTATCAAAACGAAGTTATGCAAAATTGAATAACGTTCTTATGTGCAGATGAGATTGAAGAGGATGAAAAGGAGCAGGAACATTCTTCTCTTCAGGAAAAATTGGACAGAGAACTCAAGGAGTTGGACAAAAAACTTGAACAAAAGGAGGTACATGTCTGTGCTGTATTAATCAGTTGCCTGCTTTATTCTTTCCACATACTTTTTCCAGATTAGAGTCATAATAGTTTGTTAACGGAGCTCTCCAATCTCTCTATAATAACTGGACAAAGAGTTGGATTCATCTGGTGAAACAAGCATTGTCCCAAGTTTTGACCTATCTAATTTGCAAAAAAATATTTCTCACTTTTCTTACTTCTTTTTTTTGCATTAATTCCATCAATTTAATGGTCTCTAACTTTTTTTCCTCGCTTGTAGCAGTTGCTTCATCTTCTGTTTCACTCAAATATCTCTATTGTCAGTTTTTTTTTTTTTCTCTGAAAAACTAGTTGACATTCTCAACTATTTTTTGAAGGCCGAAATGAAGTGTTTTACAAGTGTTGATACATCAGTTCTTAGACAACACTATGAAAAGAAAGTTCAGGAGTTGGAACATGAAAAAAAGGCTTTGCAGGTTGCTTGCTTCTCTTTCAATTCCTTGAATATCTTGGGATTAAATTTATGCCATGGACCAAAATTTATTGCCTTTTCAATACAGAAAGAAATTGAAGACCTAAAATGCAATCTTTGCAATATTTCATCAACTTCCGATGATGGTGCCCAAAAGTTAAAGGAAGAGTATCTTCAAAAACTGAATCTCCTTGAAGCCCAGGTTATTCTCAAACTGTCTCCGTCCCTTAACTGAATTTCTTGTACTAGATTCATATTCTGCTTTGCAGGTTTCAGAGTTGAAGAAGAAACAAGATGCTCAAGCTCAACTATTGAGACAGAAACAAAAAAGCGATGAGGCTGCAAAACGACTGCAGGATGAAATTCAGAGAATTAAGTCTCAGAAGGTGCATTTTGTTGTAAAAGAAGAGTGCTTATTGGTAGGGATGGATACCTTATGTCTTGAATGTATTTTCAGGTTCAGCTGCAACATAAAATTAAGCAAGAGTCCGAGCAGTTTAGGTTATGGAAGGCATCACGAGAAAAAGAAGTTCTTCAGGTACTAACTTCATGGAAGCATATTTTATAATCCTAAAGGGGTTTTTTCTTTCTCTGCCTGAGTCTTATCAGTGTCTTATATAGATAAAAAAATGACTTACCAGTGTCTGAAGTGTTCAATTTATTTTGCACTTTCCTGGTTAATATGATATTTTCCTTGTTCTCATTATATGTTATGATTTTCAATTGTGATCATCAATAAAGGCTCACCTATCTTCTTACCATAACTAGATCTAGAATTTTAGGAATAGCAGTCTGCAGTACTTGGATTCAGTTGATGGCTCTTTCCTAATTTTAAATAGTATGATAAAAGAACTGTTAATTATTTGAAATCAAAGGAAACTTTGTAGTATTAGAAGTTACAAAGACATGTTACAAAGATGAAGTTGTTGGGTTAAGAAATGTACATATCCAATGAACGCTGTAGTCAGAAAATTGAATTACCATTTTAATAGTCTGGTTATAAGTGGTGCAGATTGATTTATGAGTTCTTATCATATAGTGTCAGTCCTGATACCATTGTGGGTTCTTTTCAATCAACAGTTAAGCTGAAATTATAAGATGTTGCAGAATATGGATTAATATTCTAGAACCAAACTGGAAATAAGTGAACTTTCACGTGCTGTGACAAAGTACAGCTGATATTTAGGTTTAATTAGCACCCCTTGCTTGTATATCATGTTTCTTTCATCTTCATGTTTGTCTCATGTTGTTGTTATTTCTCTTCGGAATATGTTGTTCTCAATTACCAGCTTAAGAAAGAGGGAAGGAGAAACGAGTATGAAATGCATAAGCTATTAGCTTTGAATCAGAGGCAAAAACTGGTAAATATCCAGGTAGATGCTATTTCCATCCTAATCCTGCAGCTCTCTTCTCTAACTTCCTGTATTTCGTATCAGGTTTTGCAAAGAAAGACAGAAGAGGCCTCCATGGCCACAAAGAGGCTAAAAGAGCTTTTAGAATCTCGCAAGGCTTCTTCACGTGAAACATCTGGTAGGAAAACATGCTGTCACTTGTGTTAATTTTTCATCTGTAGTTGTGATAACTTCAATAACCTGTCTTCCATGTGCAGGAAATGGCAACGGTCCTGGAATTCAGGTGCTTAAAGTGTGTCAATATAATTATGTTATGTGTTTTATGTTAGAATTGCCAAGTGATTTGAAACATTTTCTATGAGCAGGCTCTGATGCAAGCAATTGAGCATGAACTTGAAGTCACAGTTCGGGTGCATGAAGTGCGTTCTGAATATGAGCGTCAAATCGAAGAGTGAGTTTGGTTTATTTATTCAATTAATACGTCTCCACTAACAGAGTTCTATTTCCTTCGTTTTTCAAGTTGTCTTCTTAGAATTGTTAGTCTCAATGTTTAGAAAGTTCATACTCTAATTTGTAAGGTTTAGGTTTTGGTTATATTGAAAATTCAGTTAACTAGTTAGCAGTTGTTTGTCTTAGACAAGTATAGTTTCAAACAGTTGAATATTTATCTTATTTGATCACGTTTATAAATTCAAGAAACTTTTCCTTCAAAGATAATATGTATTGTTCAAAAATCCAAATAGAGTGCATTTACTTTCTTGTGTCTCCTCTTTGCAATTCCCGGCCTTTACATATATAATGTCATTTGATATATAATATCCATTGATGTTTTAGGAGAGCAAGAATGGCCAATGAGATTGCAAAATTGAAAGAAGAAGCTGAGATGCTTAAGACAACTAATTTGAGGTAAAAGTTTTTGGGATGGAAATGTTGAATTTTCTCTTTGGTATTGTGTAATCTTGCTATTCAAATATTAAAACATAAATGAGGTTTAAATCCTTTCATTTGAATGGACACAGTGATTGCCATGAAACGATGTCTCCTGGTGCAAGAAATTCAAGAATTTTCGCTCTTGAAAATATGCTTTCTAGTTCTTCCAGTACTCTGGTATCTATGGCATCACAGTTGTCTGAAGCAGAAGAAAGAGAACGTGTTTTTAGTGGCAGGGGACGATGGAATCAAGTTCGCTCTCTTGCTGATGCAAAAAATATCATGAACCATCTGTTCAATCTAGCATCCTCCTCTAGGTAGAAATTTCATCAGGAGATCCTGCTGCTTGTCTTTTTTGACTGAAGCTTGTTCAGTTGTACAATGGCAGTGGATTGAACTAATGCATTTACCTGCTTTTCAAGGTGCTTACTACGAGATAAAGAAGTTGATTGCAGAGAAAAGGAAACAGAAATAAGAGATCTGAAGGGGAAACTGGTGAAACTAAGCAGTTTCGTTAGACAATTGGAAGCACAGAAGGCTGATCTCATTCATCAAGTCAAATTGCAGGTTAGCACAGTTGGCTCATTTTTTGTGATTTGGTGAAGTATCTTTTCAAAATTCTGTTTGTATTTATTTTTCCTATTTTATATCCTTGAACGAATAAGTTCTGCTTTATTCTTAGCGTATGGATTTTCTTACAGAGTTCAGCACTGAAGCAATACGCAACAACAAATTCTGGAATTCTTGATCAGAACAATGGACGCAAGTATGAATTGCGAAAGCAGGTACATCAAATTTCCTAGCCACAATGACTATTTTATATATTCACACAAGTTTTCTGTTTCTATCCTAAATTGCCAATATGTGAACAGATGGAAATAATTTGATTGGTTTTAGTTAAAATTACTTACAATGTACTGTGTTTGACCCCAGGAACCCCGGAGCTCGATAATCTTGTTGGAGGACATGGATACCTCTGAATCAGAAGGTTCGGACATGGATGCAGCAGATGATGATTGGGTAGAGTCAGGGAGAAAGCGACCTAGGAAGAAGACAAGAAATGGAAGTCGTCCTTCTATAGCATTAAAACAATTGAATGTCAATGCTTCTGAAAATCTAGAATCTTCAGGTGAGGGAATCTTTAGAGCGACAGAGAAAACTGCATCAGGAGTTTGTTGTGCATGTAGTAAAAGCTCTTCATGCAAGACAATTAAATGCAAATGCCGAGCAGCTGGAGGGAGTTGCGGGACATCATGTGCCTGTTCATTGACTAAGTGTTCCAATAGAGATGCTCTTGATGCAAAGGTGGATGAATTGCAACATTCAGACACAGCAGACAGTGTGGGGAATGGGTCAGGAGGTGATGAAGCAGAGAGAAATCACAATCTCATTTCTCATGGTGCAATGTTACTCCAAAATGCACTGAGTGAAAAGCCTTTTGAAACAAATGATGATGTTGGAACAAGGAGGAAACCTCTATCTGACATTGGGAACACAGTGGTATGGTTGAGCTTAGACTTGCCTGATTTCTTCTATAAATGTTATTTTATGCTTGAATTTGGTTCAATTTCCATTCAAGTTCTAGTCATAAATTCTATTTTCATAGTAGTTTTGATATGCATAAAGGAAACTTAATCTGTTATGGATAAGTTAAACCACCTCATTTCACGTTGGAGTTCAATTAGTAATTTCCAAAATGGGAATTTGATTACTAATTTCTAAGCTGAGAATCAATTCCTACTACTGAAAATTTCAAGATGGAGTGGTTATATCTGAAGCACTTATATGCTTAGTCCAAATCATTTAGAAAGTAATAGCGTAAGTATCTTTGATCAAGTTATAGAAGTGACTCCGGAGTTTTGGTACTTACAGGCAAAACCCAACGTACCAAGACCAAACCAGAGAAAGAAATGGCGGAAGAGTGTGCTTCAGCTTGTCCCTGTAGCTCCCCAGCAAGAAACTACGGGGGCACCAAGAAAGGCAGAAAGCACTGATATCCCCAGGAAGCCAGATAATAGCACGAGTGAGGCTGATATTCCTCCCAAGTTACCAAGGGCTATGCGTCTGGCATCCTCAACTGGTGCCAACTTGTTACGAGAGAGAAATGCTGATCAAGCTGAAGAATCTGTCAACAAGGATTCCGGTGTTCATCCACCTAGCTCTCCTGCTCTACCGGCCAGAACATCCGACGAAAAGGAGAACCGCAGACAATGACGTGATTCTCATTTTTCTCCTTGATGACACCATTAGTGTCAACTCCACATTCATATTGATTTACCATGACCCTTCCCTTTTCTGTAATTTTTCCAGAGAAAAAAAAAAGTGGTATTTAATATCCGATCAGCTTGATCTGATCATTGGCTGTGTGTTCATCTGTGCGGGGTAAATTGTGAATTTGATGACTGCTTTTGAGAGAATTAGAAGAGGACAGGTTAGATATTTGGTAGTGAGGTTTCTTCTTTCCACCACGTTTAGGAGTGTTCTTATTGTGTTATGCATTGTTGTTATATGTTTGTTGATCTGTTCAGAAAATCAATCCAGCTTACAGACAAAGTTTCTAGTTAGCTGGAAGATTCAAAATCTTTGAATGCAGGTATTTAATTTGGAAATCAATGTATACTATGATACAATCTCTCGAGCCTATTTGGATAAATGAATTTGATGACTCTTTTTTTTTTTTGAGTAGTAGAAGAAGACAGGTTTAGATTAGTAAGGATGTTTCTTCTCCCCTATACTTCCAGGAGTGTCTTATGCACTGTTTTAGTGTTATTAATGGTATTACACGTTCATTAATATCTATTCACAGGCAACTTCTACACATGCCAAGAGTAACAATATGTATTTTAAATTTTTTTAACAATTTTAATGAATACAATTACTAAATTATTATTATTATGATAACTAAATTTTCTTTCACTTCTCAAAATAATTTGAATTACTTAAAATATACAGTTTATGTTTTCATATTGACATAGTATTACATTTTACTACTTATGAATGTTGATATAAATTTACTAATAAAATTTCTCAAATTGGATATTTTGCCAAAGTATTATTATATCAATATACCGTTATATGATTCTCTTTAAAACATACGTTGGGGAAGGAAGAATAGATTAATGATTTTAAAGTAAACTCTCCTTTCATCAAATAGAGAAAGAAAAAATTAATTATTAACATCAAAATATATAGAATAATTATCAGACACAATAATATGATAATTATCACCGTGAATAAAATTATAAATATTGATATCCGACGCATTTGTAATTAGATACTTGCTTATACTAATATTTTTAATAGGACCAAGATTATCTTATTCCTATATGGAACAGCAATTCACTATTTATATGTATTAACTTATTAATATTTTAAAATAATTAAAGAAAATTTAAGACAAATTTTGTATAAAATTAAATTAAATTTTAAATTCTATTTGGAAGATTTGGTAGCCAGAGCCAGCATGGAATATAAATATTTTTACACAAAAAATTGGAAAAATCTTTGCCTCAAATGCTGACGTGGAAAAAGCGGTTCTGGTAATTAAAATAGGAAAGGAGCCAACGAGAGAAATTCAAAACTCCTAGTCGGCGAAGAACCGCGCCTTCTCTCACATTTACTTTCCACTAGACACTCGACAGAAGGTGTGTCAATATGAGAGAAATATCCGATTAGGGTTTTGTACCTTTGTAATTTGTTGATCTGAATAATCTGGTGACTTAATCGTTGCTTAGTTGCAGGAGATGAAGACGCTGAATCGCCGGTCTAAGAAAACAGAAGTTGCTGATGCTGATGATATCAAGCAACATTACGAGAAAAGGATCCGAGATTTGGAGCTCGAAAATGAATGTTTTAAGGTTCTTTCTCGTAATATAATTTGTTCTTAGGCAAAAGCATCTTGTTTATGTTATCGTGTATTGTAGTTAGTGTTTGACTGCATTGGAGTATAGGCGTATTTCATTTCCAGTTATAAATTTAGGGGTCTGGTACTTTACCAAATAAATTTTGGAAATTTTGATAGCATTATGCAACAAATCTTTTTCATCGGTTGTGAAATTTAAATTTTAGGACTGATTATTGACATAGAAAAGTGATTTATATACTTGTAATACCATTATACTACTGATGTTTTTCTAGTATGTCTGCAAATCATTTCAAATTTGCATAATTTATGACTTCTTTTCTTCGTAATTGGGAACTTTTGACGAGAATTTCATCTGTTTAGTGAAAAGAGTCTTTTTATCAAGCGCCTCATGTTAATAGTTCATCAGAGATTATTATAATCAATGTTGTTATGGATTGGTAGAGGGAGATTGAGGGGCTGAGGTGCAAATTGATTAATATTTCATCCACCCCTGATGTTGATACTGGAAAGTTGAAGGGAAATCATCTTCAAAGATCAAATGCTATCGGAGAACAGGTGAATTTTGATTCACGTTACATTTGCATTTTATATTAAAGTTTTGGGTAATTTGTAGCTATCTTATCCATTCTTAGGTTGTGGAGTCTAGGAGACAAAAATTGCAATCTCAACTCTCAATAAAAAAGCATAAAAGTGAGGAGATGGCCAAGCAATCTCCTGATGAAATTCAAAAGCTGAAGGCACAGAAGGTGACTTCTACAGTTGATTGAAGTATATTTACATGAAATTTGGTTTTCATCTTTTAACTATTATGCTACTTCTATCATTTAGGTTCAGCTTCAGTGTAAGATCAAACTTGATTCTGTTCAGTACAGGTTATGTAAAGCTTCACTTAAGAAAGAAATCCTTCAGGTATACCTATTGATCATTAACTGTTTTTACGTTTCAAACATGCTTTTTTTCTATTAAGTCTTGGAAGCACAGAAATGTGGTTATAATATGATTAATTCTACCTTCATTTTGGAATAAGCGAGTCATGTTCATTTAAGAAAATAATTGGCGATTGCAGTTCAAAATTGTCATAAAGATGTTTGTCTCTTTGTATGCCCTTTGGGCACAATGAATTTCATCTAGTTTTGTTTTTATTTCATATCATTCTTGACAAGGCATTTGCATAACTGAGTGATGCTGGTTCATTATGTCAATGATCTAGTATTATTTGATCAAGGCATGTATAAAGTAGTGATTAGAAGGGCCAGGTGCACCATGATACACAGTTCTATAGTCTGATACTTCACCAGATGAATCTTGTGGTACTGTTGTGATGGTTCTTTAAAATTCAATGCTCTTTCTTTGAAATGAGTAGACTAACCTTGCAACTTGTTTGGTTTAGTCAGTTGTTTATTTATCTGGACTTTCTTATTGTTCCCTTTGTAGTTCTATGATCTAAATTTGCCCAAAGAGTCATTTAGGATATTTTTCTCTTGCAACAGCTTAAGAAAGTTCAACGGAGGAATGAATACAAGATATCTATACTGTTAGCATTGAACCAGAGGCAGAAACTGGTATATACTAATGTTTCTTTGGTGCTAAATTCCATTTTCAAGTTGAGTTTTTGACAACAAAATAACTGTCATTCTTACTTGAATTCTTGTATCAGGCCCTGCAACGAAAAAATGAAGAAGCTTTTGTTGCTATGAAACGACTTAAGCAGTGTTAGAATCTAGAAAAACTTTATTTTACAGAGCAGCTGGTTAGTCGACGTTCTATATATTAAATCCATGCTTTGTGTTTTTAGTTATGATTATTCACCATCTTAATTTTCTTTCCTTTAAATCTCAAGAAGGGCCAGAAACGGAAACGACGATGCTAGATTCTGGTTATGCCGTACTGAACCAA